GAGCAGGCCAGCCGGGGGGTGGGGGGGAGGCAGTTGGAGGCGAGCAGGCAGGCAGGGGTGGCAGGTGGGGGCGAGCAGGCCAGCAGGCAGAGTGGTTAGGGGTGGTCAGGCAGGCAGGCAGGTGAGCAATTAGGAGCCAGCCATCCTGGATTTCAAGAGGCCCGGGATCGGGCCTAAACCATCAGTCAGATATCCCCCGAGGGGTCCCAGATTGGAGAAGTGCAGGCCGGGCTGAGGGACACCACCGCCCCCCCCACCCCCGCCATGCATGAATTTTGTGCACTGGGCCACTAGTAGTATAGAAAACCTCTACCCTCAGAGACCTGGCCTTCTAAGTAGACGGCAGACAGATGATAAACAGGCAAACAGGGAGAAATAAGGCTTGAAGGGAAATGAGGCCAGGTAAGGCAGGCAGCCGGGGCCTGGGATGGAGTCAGGGAGGACTCTCAGAGGCGGTGACATCTGAGCCGTCCTGAAGGATGGGAGGGAGCACCATGCACAGTGTCTGTGGCCTCGTCAATCCAGTCTCATCACATCCTCCTCCACTGAGCAATGAGCTCCCATGTTACTGACCAGGAAGCTCAGAGACATGCATGCACCTGCTCAAGGTCACACAGCTGGAGGTGTTGGCACGAGAGTCAAGCCCAGCTCTGCCTCCCAGTCCTTGGCTACCCTCCACTGGCTCACAGGAGCTCAAGTTCACCCAAAGAGCGTGGACATCACCCAGAGTCATGGGGTCAGGAGGGTAGTACCGGGGTCCTGAGGTGAACAGGTCTGGCGTTCACTCCATTGCTCGTCCTCAATGAAGTGAGTTTGGAGCTGAACTGTAAAGCCCAGGAAGGAAGGGCGGTTCCAAAGGGTAGGGGGTCTGGCTTATCTAGAACCTCAGTGGGGACAGTGAGGGCCGTAGGCAGGGGGGGGCCAGCTTTGGAATGAAGTTTGGTGCCAATTCTTGGTGACAGAAGAAGTCCCCAAATTTGGGTCGTCACACACACAGGCCTGGCTTCGTGCCAGGATGTGGAAGCCACACAGGCAGACGGCTCCCAGGCCGGGCCTCCAGGAGCCAGGGCAGAGCAGAGAAGAACCGAAACCCTTCAGTCCAGCCAAATAGAGACCACACAGCCCAGACAGTCCCTGGGACCTGATTCTAAGCTTCGTCCCTACTGCTCCTCAGCCCCACCATCTAGGACTAGGTCTTCAAACCACACCCCTCCCACCCCCCACCTTATACCCACAAGAGACAGCAAAATCTTTGATTCGTTTTTCCTTCTGCCCCTGGCGCCTGGGTTCCTGGCCCCGGTGGCTAATGGCCATGTGGGACCCCACACATGGACGGATGGGCTGGAATGAGCTCGGGGGCTGAACTGCACCGGCTGCAACTCTGGACACTGGCCTGCTTTGGGCTCTCCCGGAACCCCAGCTGCGCCCTTCCCAGGACTGGCTTCTCTCAGTAAACTTTGCTTCCGCTAAAAAATAAAAAATAAATTTAAAAAAATATTTGATTCATCCATTCGCTAAGCTTTCCTGAGTAGCTCGGCGGGCCAGCACGGGGTGGGGCTCAGCAGTGGCGAAGCAGCTGCCCTCGCCCTCACCCTCACCCTCAGCCCTCAGCCCTCACCGAGGCATCGTTCCAGGGGAGATGCCACCGCGCAGGGACAATGCGGAGTGAATGAAGCCGGAATACCACACAGGACAACGCAGAGGTCAATGGAGTGTCCCACAGAAGGACCCCAGGCCCCATCTTCACAGGATTGGACCGAGGGCCAGTCCTGCAGGCTGGGTGGAGGGATGTGGGTCTGGGGTGTAGTGGTGGGGTGGGGGAGTGAGGGCCAGGGCGGTGTACCTGTGAAGGGGAAAAGTCTACCTTCAGGGGCCCCAGCAAGGTAGCGACGGGGGCAGAGCTGTCCCTACCCCTGTCCTCCACCAGGGGGTGCTAAAGCTGAGGGCAGGGAGCAGACAGGTCAAAGGGGCTGAGAGAAAGCGCCTGCAGTTCAGGGGCCTGTGAGAGAGGCCTGATGGGTGTGCTGCTCAGGCGCTGAGTCGGCCCCAGTCCCCTAGAAGGGCAGAGGTGCTGGGGAGGGATGGCTCAGTAAGCCAGAGGCCAGCAAGCTGCCCCAGTGTCTGAGCGGGTCCCAGTAGGGACTTACCAGAGACTGCTGGGGGTGGGGAGGCGGGGAGAGGGAGGAGGCTGGATCAGATGTGGAAAAGTTTGGAGGAAATACACCTGTTCCTCCCCAGAGATCCGAGGGCTCACTGCTTGGCCCATGCAGGTGTTGCTCAAAAGTCGCCTCTTCAGAAACCTTCCCTGACACACACCTGGGCTGGGGAGGCAAAGCTGGACAACACGGGGGAGGAGCGTCCAGCGAGCACCTACTATGTGCCGGGCATGAACTGGACACCTCTTGTGTCATCTCTCAGTCCTCATGATGACCCTGTGAGGTGGGTATAACTGCCTACTCCTGTTTTACCGATGAGGAAACTGAGCCCTGGCTGGTTTGGCGCAGTGGATAGAGCATCGGCCCACGGGCTGAAGGGTCCTGGGTTCGATTCCGGCCAAGGGCACGTACCTTGGTTGCGGGTTCCCCAGCCCTGATCAGGGGGCATGCAGGAGGCAACCAATGGATGTGCCTCTCTCACATCGATGTTTCCCTCTGTGTCTCTCCCTCTTCCTTCCACTCTCTCTAAAAATCAATGGAAAAGGTTAGCTGACTTAACTAGCCACCGAGCGGCCCCCACGTGCAAGGCTGTCCTTGTTGCTCCCACCTCCCGGAGATTTTTATTGTCGTGTGGGGTTTGGAAAGGCGCAGAGGAGCATGGGAACCTGAGTTGGGGCCAGAGCTGTGGGCTCCCGTGCTGTGTCCTTCCCGGGGGGCCCCAGGCGCCATGACTTCTGTTTGTACAGCTCTCGTGGCCAATCATGGTGAGGATTTGAGTTGCTGGCCCTGCTGTTTGGGACAGAGAGGGCTGTAGTGTTTGAGACAAGATGGATCTGGGGGGTCAGAATGGGGACACGGCAGGTTCTAAGAAGCTAGTCACCAATCCCCAAGCCTGTCCCTGCGCTCCAGAGGCTCACAGTCACTAGGACAGCCCTGCAGCACCAGCCCTTCTTTCTCAGCCCTCGGGCCCACTGCGCGCTGAGTCACACGCCCAGCTTGTTCACAGGTGCGTTCCTGGTGACCTTTGGCAGGAGGCACGGATGTCCCCGCCTCAGCGGGTGGCGGCCACACTGCACCTGGAACGATACGTCCCCGGGACGTGTTAGACATGCCTGCCATGCTTTGCTCTCATTTCCATTTTACAAGGGGCGGGGGCGGGGGGCACTGGACTTGGAGGGTAAGGAGCTTTGCCCGTCACCCAGCTGGCAGAGCAGAGCCCGGATGGAGGGCAGGTCTCACTCCCAAGCTGGTTTCCTACCCCCTGGCCTCCGCATTAGCCGGGCAGAAACCAACACTGCAAACTGGGCCGATGACCGGGAAGGCAGAGCAGAGGGGTCAGAGCTCAGAGGAAAAAGAGGCCCAGGGGCTGCGGAAG